ACCTACGATTATATAAGAGGTCGGTCTTATGCGCGTATTTTTAAGCCCGCATGGTAATTAAATATCGTACCTGTTTTATTTATTAATCGTAGAAGGATACACCTACTAACGAAAATAGGCTTAATTAATTAATAATTACAAATTATATATATCTTAATATCGTATGCAAAACCCTCAGTAGCAGGAGGATTAATACGAAAAGTATTTTATTTTATTGTCAGTTCCATTTAAGTATTTTAATGTTAATGTTCTGAAGAAGTACCTAATTAATTCAAAATCCACATTAACTGAAAAAAAAAGTTTTTGAACTTCATTTGATGATCCTTCCCTTACAAAGTACTAAAATGATAGAGCATGACACAACTCACCAGTTAAAGTCTCAAAAATTATGGGCATAATAAGTATTGATTTTTATTAATTTTTCAGGACTTGACCTGTAAATTGTTTGACTCTTTATTATAATTTTGTGGAATCCGGTCTTTTGAAGTATAAGCGATTTGTTCAATTTTAATTTAAATTTTCTGCTGAAAGTGTTGTTTAAAACTGAATACCCACTAAAAAAGAATACAAAATAAATTTCTGACTTGTACAGTTTACGAATACTAAATTTATTTAAATAATAATGATAAAAAAGTGCCTTTATTTTTTACGCCCATATTTACAAAATATAGTAATGGAAGGACAAACGTAAACATACGATCTTCCACATAACCATCATATTAAGACATCAACATAATAAGATATATTTCAACAAAAGTTGTATTTTAATTAGTAGGTGCAACCATGGAAATACAGAAGGACAATATTATTACATAGAAAGTGAAAAAACTAGAATCAAGGAAATATAAACAGAGAAAAAACAACAACTCAGCTACACTGTGAAAATATTTAACTCAAATCAAACCTTATATGATTATGTAGTTCTTATTTAAAACTAAATATTTTTGGAGCTTTTTTGATACTAATAGGGATTTTGTTAAACACTTTAGCGCCATTGTAGCTAAAAAAACTCTATATTTAGGTACTGTTTTTTAGTCAGAAATTTGTCCTCAATTTCTTATAATGCCATTTTTCTTTGACGGTTTTTCTTTGGATCCTACGGAGGCGTCCCTTTATTTGCATTACCCTAAAAACTATCATCAATTGTAAAATCCTAAGTGTTAGACATTTTAAATTTAAAATTTTCCATATTTCAAATTTTGAAGTAAGAAAATCTCGATCGTCGTTTGTTTCTTGTGTGGTTAAAAATTAACATCTGTGAATTTAGAACTGATTATTGAAATTTTATAACAGATTCTTTTTCGAACGATTAGTTACTTGCAAATTTGTGAAAACATTATAAGGATTCTGATTTTTAAATAGCTGAGAGAAATTAAACGCCCTCCTACGCCACTGTAGCGCAAGTTTCAAAAAGGCGGTAAAGTCCGTTATAAGACGCGTGCCCCCCGATCTTAAGACGCCGCGAGAATCATCTTTTAACGAGGGTCTGAGAAAAGCAAACGGAAAAGGGAGGGTAAATCAAAAAGCAGCTGCCAACCTCTTTTGTCCTGGCGTAACGTCTTTTACCTTTTTAAGAAGTGCAGTTGTGACTTACCTGTGGGAACTTTATGCCGATTCACTTTTACAATCTTTCCCTTAAGAAACGCGAGGGGTCCTTTGCCCTAACCCATGCTGGTTTCAAACGCGTTACGAGTTTTTGTCCGACTAGCTTAAATACCAATGCCTCTTGGGATATGGGAAAGGATTTTCATTTTCAACTTATAACGATACTATAAGCTATAAAATTTCCTATTTTCCTGTGAGCAGAATATGATTTTTTTATTTCAATTGCCATACAATGTGTTTAAATCTGGTCTGTAAATTTTTACAAGATCTCCTTTTTAATGGCCGGCTTTATCGAAATGAGTTTGTACATACATTTTGATAATCAAGTCCTCACGATCTCCTTATCCAAATTTCATAATTTTATCATCCCTTTCCATAAATTCTCAAGATCAAGTTTTTCAAGTTTTATTTTTAATTCGAATATCTCGTTTGGCAATAGAAAAAAATAACGAAGAATTAGAGAACAACCACTCCAATATTTTTTAATGAAAGTTGCACTGAACCTCCTGAACTTAGTGTGTTTCAGTTTAGCTCTGAAGAAGCCAACAGAACGATTGGCGAAACGTCAGCAAGTTTGATTTATAAACAACCAACGCAGGAGGAATCCAGATTTGTAAATAGTAACCATTCCAATAGTTCTCAACTTTGGCCATTGTCTTTCCTAAGCCAACGACTAGTGAAGCCCAATGTACTAAGACCTTTTTGAAAAGTAATTTAATCTTTTTTTTAATCTGACAGACGTCAATTTTTAAACTACTGGAACGGTGTTTAATTGCACCTTTCATAATTTCACCAAAGCAATATTTCAATTTAAAATGTATGTAACATTCTTCAGCCCTATATGACTGGATAAGATATTTCAAATTTAAATTATTTTTATTAAACAAATAACAATTGTTTATTGTTGAAAGGCCAATAGGAATATGCGGGTAACGTCCTACATGAAAACTACAAGTATCTATTTAGCAAAGGAATTTTTTAAAAATATTCTTGGTGTTCCAGGGAATGCAAGCGAGAATCTGTATTTTCAACAATTGATGCATCCAGCTTTTCCTAGAACATAGTTTATAATTCTTCTGCATATTAGGTGGTCTGATTAGATCAAAACCAATCAAGCAAAAATGACGAACCCTTATCTTACACAGACGCATATTTCGATCGCAAATGTCGACTATGCTCATATGTCTATATCTGCATCAACACTGTCTTAGAGATTAATCAATAATTCATTTAAAATAAGGCCTTTGAGATATAAAATATCTCCGTATTGCTATTGTGCTTCTAAACTAATTGATTATTGTTCTAGTATTATCACTTGAGCAACTAGTTAGCAACATAATACAATATACATAATACAATATAATACTCATCAAACAAATTATCACTTTTTTTGTATATTAATTTTTGCTGCGTACTCCCAGAGTCGCAAACAGTTTTTAATTAAATATGTCACTACTACCAATTTCTACAGTCTCCGAACATCATTTTCATGTGGCTCATTTTTCATGATTTAAAAAAAACTTAACCCCAAATTATTTAATGTTATGTAGACATAACTTGTGTAAAAAGCAGAGTCATCAATCAGATTTTTAAAAGTGACGAACGTCTTAATATGGTAGAAATCGTGCAATAATGACAAAATTTAAACTGTGTATAAAATACATTCTAACTTTGAAGTTTTATTTTGTGGGTAGATCTTTTATCTTTAATCATTGGGAAAGAGGTTGGATTACGCGCCAGTAAAAATAACAGTTTTCTGCTAAAGGGGTATTTAAGTGTTATATCGAAACGCTTACAGGTAATATATCGAACAGATGGACCTATGCAGATAAGATAAGGAAATCAATAATGGTATAGGTGTTTCATGATATTGCCCTATGTAGGTTATTAAGGGAAAGAATACATTAAGTCATGTGCTTAGCGGTTTATCAGGTAGATTTATCAGAGGCAACTAATCACGTTTTTTTTAGTAAACGTAACAGGAAAGGATCTTTGTTTAATTTAAGCATATATTAAGCCTAAAACCGAAATTTTTCTTCCGATTGAAATACGTTTATTGTATCAGTGATATTATGATAGTTCTGAATAAATGAATAAAGTTTGAACAATAAAGTTATATAAGATCATTCACGACAGTTGACAGATTACACCTTTATTGAAAACGAGACCTAACAGGGAAGTATATTATTGCATTTTCCGCTCTATCAACCTTTTCTGGTTGCTTTTGTAAAATATCTTTAGCGGTTTGAACTCGTAGAAAGCTGACTTTTTGACATACTTGACGAAGAAGTATTTGTTTTGGGTTAAAATATTTATCCTGTGTTGTGCAAAAATTTAAAGTCATATGTTATATTCTATGCCAAGATGGTTAAGATTTGAAAGTAAAAGCAAGTTTCTATTTTTTTTTTTTAAATCATTTTTAACTTAACTAAAATTCTGCAGAATACTCGTAGATACCTTTTTGGTCCTTCTTATCTTATTGGTGCTTCTGCTTATCTTTCTGGAGCTTCTGCAATACAATTACCAACTCGTTGGTTAGTTTTAGGTTATCTAAAAATGCAATAATCATTCGGGCTTCCCAAAATTCTAAATCATAGATCGAAGAATTCGAAGAGCTCCTTCGTTCTTTCCCAAGACCAACAGAAAAGTTACTTTTATAACGGCTGAATGAAGAATGAGGATGGTTACCTACGGCGAGTAAATATATCAGAATCATCCGAATCGTAATTATTTTGATAGAGGAATGTAAAAGGATTTTTTTTTCTTCGTTCAATTGTATATGGTGTTCCATTCACAAAACAAGCATTTTAATGTTTTTATTTCTAACGGTAAGTATAATCGAAAGTTTTATTAAATGGTCTTGCGCACGGGGCAAATCTCTTGACACAAAACTACCACATGTACTTTGGTAAACTACGTCCAATATTTCGGCTTTTAAATGTTACTGTAATAAATATTTTTTTATTGAAGTTAAACTATATTTAAAAGGATATATCATATAAAAGTAAACAGAAATTAAAGGCAGAGAGTAAAATGCAATAATAAACAGATTATTCCATTTGAAATATGAGATATGGTATTTTAACAGTTTCAAAGAAGCGGCAACCTGTCTAGAACTCTTCTCAACACAATTCTGGCAATTATGGCTACAGTTTGCGCAAAAGTCAGCACTATTTGTTTTTTATTCTAAAGATTTTAGTAGTTACGCAATAAGATGTAGACATGTGACAGATAATACAAATTAACTTAGTAAACTGAAAAAATGACCAACAAGTAATAGGTCAAATGCTACTTGGGAATGTCAAAAGTTTCGGCCAATAATCATAAAATAAAAGAGATAGAAGTGACCACTATCGACATAATTACGATTTTCGCGATAAAGAAACACAACTCACCTAAAATTTGAGAACCACTTGACGAGCTGGGCAGTGTTATTCTTATTGAACTTGATGTCCGGAAAATACATCTTGAGAACCGCCGAGCTGGGATATCGTACCCAGAAGAACATCAGTTTCGCTTTCCTCAGGTGCATGGGTGTTAGTGTCGACGAGTGTGTATCAGTTAAGGAAATATTTGATTGCTAGAGGTGGAGAGAGAGAAAAAAAAACGCTTTTCATTGGTTCAAACATATCAATCAACGTTTCTAGCTCTTTAAGTCGCATTTATTTTAACGGAGTTATAAAAAATAATAAGAGGCAACGCGCGATATACGGCCGAGAAAATTATAGCTTCTACATGTGAACTTTTTTCTTTGTGTCGAACACGTGTTCGTAACCGGTGACATTCTCACATGACGTCTTAATATACTGTAAAAGTAAAAGAATTTTCCTTGATAATCACTACAATTTAGACATTGGATTACAGGAACTTGATCGGGACTCGCAGCATGTTCGAGCATAACGCTACATTATGCATTAAACGTTTTACTATGTAATTTAAAAGTTGTCTACTTATAACACAAGTAAGTTTATGTACGTTACGCTGTCAACAGGAGCGTTAAAAAACTTTTCTAACCTCAAAATTACGTGGCAATATCATATGAAATCCAATTCTGTTAATTCGTGCCTTTTGTTTTAATGTAAATAAAAATAAAAAATGTTACAGTATCAACATAAACATAAACCTATACCCAATTCCACAAAAAACTACGTTATAATATTAATACAATTTGGATCCCCGGTAACTTTTATATTTTTGACTCGATTTTGAAGATTAAATTTCTGAATAATTAATAATATTCGATTTATAAACATTATACGAGGAAAAACAAAATTGTATTTCCATCATCTAGGTTGCTATTAGTTGGTTGCGAAGAGAAATAGAAAAAAAAATAAACGCAATGTTTTATTTTATAATATATAACTTTAGAATTTTAAGTGACTTCCAAAAGCTGTTCACTACACAGTTTCTTAAACGTATACCAAAAAAAAAAAAAAAATACGAAACACATTTAAAACATTTCTGAAAATTTGTATTGAAAAAAGTTATTTTCTTTTTAGTTTTCAACAAATTAAAAAAAAAAATTTTCGTTAAGTTTGTTGTATTAAATAACTCGGACTAGCTGGGATGGTTTAATAAATTATTTTTATTCAAATTTTTCTCTGGTTTAAAAAAAATTTTGGCATGGAATTACAGAAACCATCAAATTTAATACGGTTTTAACATTTTGAAACCAAATGATGTTTGGTTTTGATTAGTTTTAGGTTTAAGATTTTATTACAATTCAGAGGAGTACCTTGAAAAAAAAAAGAAATAATAAATAAATAAAATTAATAAATGAAAAATGTTCCCATATGATGCGAACATTAGTGGTGACACTGTATAATATAAATAAAAACGTATCTCTTTAAGGCCTTTAAAAGCGTCTTTGATTACTCGAATGTAGAAATTGGTAAAAGTTTTAAAATCCCAAAAACGACTATTTTGAACTTTACTACTGGTTATTATTTCGTAATATTGTCGAAGATAGGCTAGTTATTTTAATACTTCATAATATGAATTGTCAATAATTACGCAATCTATTATTGGGAATACAAATTTAATTGGCGAAGTACAAGATCTTTAATAATTTTTAGTATTTATTTAGGCAAGAGACTCAGACTTAAAATGTTAGTGTAAAAAATATATTCTAATCAACTAATTTGATACGGAAAGCAATTCTAACAAATATTTTATACTGTACCAGATAGGAGGTAAAATTTCTACGGTTTCGTATTAAAGGTTTATTTATATTTGATTTCGATACACCGATACCTTACATAGAAAACTTAACCCCCAGTCAAAGGTCTTTTATGTAGGAATACTTATAAATCACAGAAAAAGATTAGGTTAAGCCACGACAGGAGAAATCTCATTTAACCACGCAAATTCTGTTTTGCCCCTTTACAGTTGAGTAATTCGCATTGTTTTCGGTGTTGGTGGTGTTCTTTGTTCCATCAGTGTTATAATTCTAAATTTAAGTGAGCTTAAACATTATTTTACTCGATCTTAGTTTAAATTTTCTATTGTACTTAGGACTTTAGTACTAGTAATTTAAAAATTTTGCTTTTTAATGTTTAGGATTTGAAGGTCTGTTGATTTGATTGATTGATACTGCGCTATTAACAAGTAAAGAATAAATGACGTTGTCCGCGGCCTATTAATTTTATATTCCCGATATACCGATTAATCCTTAACAGAAAATTTAAGTGCGACCAAACCAAAGAAATATCGTAAAATCGTTTTGATACATACACAGTAATTTTTGCATAAAAAGGATATAGTAGGCTGCATCCCGTCGTAGGATATGTCGCCGGAGTTGCAGTCCGAGTTCCTGTCCCCATTGTCCATGTTGATGCCCCCCGAAGGGGCGCGCATGTGACCATAGTCTGGGGAGCCGCCGTGTTGTGCGGCGGCCAGTAACGCGGGATGTAGCAACGTGGGGGGATGGTGAACGGGGGGTGATTCCCGTTCGATCTTGTGCATGCGAGGGGGTGATGAGGAAGCCTGCAACAAACATGTTTTCGTTAACACCCGTTTTCAGAACACACCGGAGACTAGTCGGAAAGTGCAAAAATGGATCCATTTAAAAGAGAGACATATTTTTCCTTAACCAAATGACCAATGAAACTTTAAAGAACGAAAACCTCCAGGTGTCAAGGACAATCAGGTGTTTGCCATCACGTGAGGATGCATGTGCAACCAGCCTAAGCATTTGAGAAGAAGTTACGTACTTGCATATAAAAAAAACATTTTTGGGCTTTAAAATTAAAATAATAAAGTAATTTTATTATATATTCGTTTACAGATATATCGGATATACGTATTTTTTGTTTGATATTACAATGTTTCTCAGTTTCAAAATATTTATAAAGAGATGAAATAGTAGATTATATTTAGCACCGGTTTACGTATACAGGGTAAACCAACGACATACTAGGAGTCCGACCGGGAATTTTTCGTAGATCTGTTATGGGAAAAAAATACCTGGTAGGGGCAATCCAGCTAAATTATTTTACGGCACATTTAGATATACCGAAAGTGGCTGTAAATTTTAAAACGGAACATCCTATATATTATTACCAATATATAATATAATATATTTGACCGTTTCTGTGGCAAACATGACGTTTGCAGACCGAACAACATCTGTAAATTTGTCCCATACGGAATCCCGTAAAACTTTACTCTATTAACTTACTCTGTAGAAAATGGTCTGATTAACAAATTTACTTAATAATTTCGATTATTAATAATACATAATGAAATTGAAACTTTATAATACCATCTTATTTAGAATTAAATATTAGAACTACTTTGGATATAGGTTGTATATTTCGAATATTTATAGTTTTCGACCACAGGCGGGACTAAAGCAGCGTAGAAAAACAAAAGTCTCATAGCTGTTGACAGCAGTAAGTATGCCGGCACGCTTAAATGATTATACGAAGAATGGAGAATCTCACAATGTTTCAGCCAGAACAAAAACGGAAACTACCACCTATTTACAAAACTTCTGGATTCCTCCAGCGTCAGTTTTTGCTCAGACGAACTTGCTGACGTTTCGCCAATCATCCTGTTGGCTTCTTCAGAAGTTTTGTAAAAAGTATTACAGTAGCCTGTGGAAGTTTCTTTGAAAAAAGAAACTACCACCCTCTGTAGTTGACAAGATTATAGATTTTCTTAAAAAATTGATTCGCTTAAAGCGGAAGCGAAAAAAATTTAAAACATTGCAAAGGAAAAATACTTATTCTAGGAAAGCATAGAAATAGAAAAATTCAAAAAAACCTAATTTGTCGTTGAACTTCAAGACAATTTTTCGTATTGAACAAGCGAGTGTTCATGGGTTACTTTTTTATTTGAATTCTTTTTCTTTTATTGAATTCTTCTTTGCTTATCATTGAAGTGTTATATGTCAGATTTTTTATTGTACCGAAAAATAAAAAAAATTAAGCACTGACCTGTCAGGAGTTCGGGTCTGCCAAGGAAAAGAACCATTGGTGGCGATAAACTATCCTCTGATAAAGTTGTATGTCTATGTTCTATGATTAGAATGGAATTAGGACAAAATATTTTTGAAAAAGAAACTAAACCACTTCTTGAATTATTTTCGAAATTCGCATAGGTACAACTTAGAGTAATGATCAGTTGTTTGCTTTTGTACGGCGCAGTATTTTCCGGTATCAAAATAAAATCCATTTTCACTCATAAAAATAATATATTTTTTGGACATAAAATTCATTTGTGATAGTTTTTGTTATTAAAGCAAATATTCATTCTGACAAATTATATTAAGTGTAATATTAAAGTCTGTTCATAGATATAATAAAGTGACTAACTGATACGAAGTAAGGAAAGAGCCGGGTAAGCTGCAAGAATGAAATATGGCCGAACAGGTCCGTACTTTGCTTAGAATTTAATTATATGGAGTTTTGTAAGATACTAAACAATATTTATTGATTTAGGTATACATTTATGTTTAGTTCTAAAATAAAATTACAAATTATTTTTATTACTTACTTAAATTACCTATAAGGCAGCGAAACTTTTTACTCTCTCTTTTCCCTATGTGATTACAAGAAAATACATCGCAAAAGTTTCTAAAGAATATGGACGGAAAATAAATATTTCTAGCGTTAGTCCTAACGGAATAAACTGATTGCAAAAAAGCAAAGTATGTACAAAATATAAAGTATGTGTATAAAATTAGAAAAAAATAAAAAAATATATTATCAAGAAAATAGAAGAAGTTATTCTTTAACGCCAAAGATCTAACTAAAAATGCAGATCTTAAATTTACAACTTCTATCTCGAAACCAAGGCAATATAGTAAAAATGTCTATATGGACTATGGTTTTCTATCAGCCCCAAATGGTTGTCGCGAAAAACCTGATCCACCTTATCTATATTTATCAGAGTTGTCAATACGTATCTTAAATAAAAAAATTCAAAAAAATACTAACGACTACATTATTTATAATAAGCAAATTAAAATGTCCAGTGAAATGCTTTTGTTCTTGTCAAGTTAATCACATTGTTCATTCAAAAAAAGACTATAGGTTGTTTTGAAAAATATCTAAGATTATGCAAGCAATGCCATTGAAACTAATTTCAACATTTCCGCGCCTCGTAAAAGTTATTTTGAGATATCTAAATTAATGTAATCGCGAATTCTCGTCAAATTTAACAAGTGGCATGAGGAACAAGAATGTATGGGAGAGCGTGTTCTTTTAAAATGATATCCATTGATCTATTCAAAAAAAAAGTTCATCCCACGAGCCTAACTAGAAGGTATAAATACCTGCTTGGCAAATGTGCGGTAAAACAGGTGTTTTATCACGGCTGACCGATATTTTAAAAAGACGGGATTTATTAGCTTCCATAAAATTCTCGTTCAAATCTGGGTGGTTGGACAATCACGTTTTTCTGTTATTCGAAAAATGTTTCCGGATATTCCGCTTAAAATGTCAGAGGAATTGAATGGAACTGGGTTAACCGACAAGTAAAATAAATAACTGGGGAAAATGCGAGAACGCGGTTTAAGATTCGACAAGGTTTTCTCAAATTGATTTAAAAGTGAGACGACAGTCTCGATCATTTTTTGTGAAACGTTCACTTTTTGCAGGATGATTTCTGTAAAGTACTGAAATTTCAACATTAATATTTTATTATTGCCACATTCAAAAACATTCAGCTGTAAAATTTTTAATTTGCTTCTTGTATGCAAAACAAGTTTAAACGCAAGTCGAAAAAACAAAAAAAAGTTACTATTAACGGAAATTATTCTTTAAAAAGTTAATTTTTTAGGTTCCTCGAATTTATAAGTTTTAAAAAACTAAGGACTCTTACTCTTTAACAATATTTTATAACGTATTTATATTGGAATTCCCAAAGACCATAAAATCATATTTTAAAGAAGTCGTTGCCATTTGATTTGTGAATTAATCGTTTTCCTTAAATCTAGCCAGTAAACACAATTTTTTTGGCCTATTTATGGAACTACTGCTTTGATTCACAGTCATATGTTAGATAGTGATTAAAACTTTAATTCTCTGGGTTTCATTTAGATGAGCCATATCCACTTTCTTTAATGATCGAAATGTAATTGTGACAATTTAAGGTATAAGCTACTTACCTGTTACTTTTAAAATTAAATTTCTGGTTTTTATTACTTTACTCATAAAAAGTAATAAAGAGTAATTATGCGTGACATCTGATAGATTTCGAAAATGGATTGAAAATAATGGTGTTCCCTTTAAAAAAGTGAACTTGTGTATTTTCTGTTTGCTGCATAAAATGCGCAAGAAAAAATGATGATGGACGTATGCGTTCGCTGTATATGTATATGGTTTTAAAAATAACTCTTTTCGTTTTTCTATTTTGTGTAATAATTTTGTATTTGAAATTGACATCCGTAATATGTTGTTAACACATAACAGATAATAGATACGAGGAAGCATGGTCTTTAGTAACATAAAATATCATACCCAAGAGCCTTAAGACGCTTCTGTACCACTTCAAAAATTGTAATATGCATATTTGAGGTCTTCTACTTAAAGAGTCTGAGATCATCCATCTTCTTTCTTTTAAAAAGAGATTTTTTTTTCTTCCAAAAATCATTATAGAAAAAATAATGAATTTTTTAAAATCTTTTTTAAAATATAACCGAAAATAATTTTGGAATTATTCACAGCAGGCAAAATTTAGATTAGCAGATTATTGGATAATCTTTATTTGTTGGATCAGGTGGATAATGGCAAAAAGTAAAATTGCAGACTAAAAGCTTACTCGGAAATTCATTAATATATAAATTAATTTTTCAGAATTTTTAGGCATAGCAAGCAAAATATTTCAATAACAAACCTTCAATTATTAATTTCTAAAATATTTCTTAAACGTGTAAGTGACGTTGCCCTTGGTAATAGGATATAATTGGGAAACTTATAAACTCAGACTAGGGTAATTGTCAGGTTTAGTTCGTTAATTGTAATGTATTTTACCTGCATTGCCATGTGATGGCCGTGGCTTGGTCCATGGAAGAAGGGGCTGTAGGGTGAGAAAACCTGCGACTCGTGCAGGCCGGGGTTGGGAATCGCCACCGATGTTGGTAGGGAAACCGGTAACATCGGCGGCGCTTGATGATATGGGGGAGGCCGGGGTGAAGTGCACGAAGAGGCTCCGCTTCCGGTTCCGGGCTCCATGGACGCGGGTGACATGCCCATGCCGCCGTCCTGGCCCAGGATGCGACTCACGGTTCGTGGCGTTATCCTTGTATCCGTCACCTTGAAAGCCGTAAAATCCTACGTTTATTTATAAAAAATGTTGGAAATCAGGACATTTTTTTAACCAAAACTAACAAAAACATTTAAAAACTGCTACGAGTAACATAGCTTATATAAAGACTTAGTTTGAGCTGATGTGCGTGGATGTTCTCATAACGAAATGTTTCAGGAAAGTTATAAGTAATATTTGCTATAACTATTTAAGAAACTTTTTTAAGAAAACTAGGAGGGGAGATCAATAGAGACTAAAATTAACATAATAGGTTTTTTCGATAGACTTTGCTTTTTATTCTTTAACAGGTAATTTGGAAAATGGAGACATGTTGCATATACCGTTGCAATTCTTGAAATATATACAAGTATACTCAAAGTAAAAATATGTATATACCAAAAAAACAAAAAGCTTGAGGATTTGATACATAATACAAATATATAACTTTCCTTTTTTACTCCAGTAAAAATTTCCAGAGCGAAAAGTTAACCTTCTCTTTTTAAAATAAATTGAAGAAATTAAAATAGCAGTAAACTTAAGAAATATACCACAAATTTTCTCTGTACCCTCAAAAAGTTACTTAAAGAAAACAAGACAGATCAAACAACGTATTTGACAGAATAAAGCTTCGAATTTAATTCTGTGTTCTATACACTGATGACAAAATTAAAACAAAAACGAGGGCATCCATATTAAAAGTTCGACAAATTTTGGATGTCTCGTCGTGAAATGCACGTAGAAAATAATTTTTTCTTCTTAATTCATTTGAAATGGTTCCCGGTAAAAACAAAAAAGGAATATGAAACTCACCTTGTGTCTCTTCTTTTTCGGCGCCACCACTAAGCTAAGTGCTTCATTTTGTTCGGGCGTTTCCTGTTTGGATACGCAAAACGGATGGTTCATACCGTAAAGTGGCGCCTGGCTAATCCCTGGAGGCGGCTTAGGGGGCTGAAACATCGGAGGCCTAATATGTAGATCGGGTTTTTGCATGTTGTTGTTATTATGCATATTATGTACGGGAATCATTTGAGGTCCCACATTTCCATTTACCATGTGATTTTGATTCGGTGGCGGTGGCGGCGCCTGAGAGCGCTCCGCCACCTTGGTCCTGGGCGATTTCCTGTCCAAAAGCTGAGAGGCCATCAGCAGGTCTTTATTTAACTGCTCGGCAGCCGTGGCCGCGTCCTGCTGTTTACACCGTTTCTGATGGACGAAACGTGTCAATATAGAATCTATCAAGTTAGATAGAGACGAAGTTATTTCAGTTTTTAGGGTATCCGCGAGTCCTTCGAGATCTGTGCCCGTTGGCGTTGCTATATTCCTCATTAAGTGCAGTCTATCCGATATATTCTCCTGTTTGTGAGGTGTTTGCGGCAACTGCTGTTGCGGTGGTGGCGGTTGCGATTCACTGCTCATTGCCGCCGCCACGGCAGCTTCTTTCGCTAAACGCGCCTCTTGTTCCATCAACAATTTGTGCCCCAGGTACATCGCCGCGGCGTTGTTCATATGCTGCGGGGCATGTAACAGGCCGTTGTGGAACGGCGGTGGACCCGAAGGGCTTATCTTCATCTTGCTTACCTCTTGGGCTAGCGAAGGGGTCGGTTGGGAGGGAGTCGGCGTCGACGTCGTCGTCACCGGCGACGGCGGCGCCGATCTCTTATTACTATGTTCACTATCACTTGGAATTTCCTCCACTTCTTGACTCTCTTCCGAACCTTGCTCTACACGATTGCACAGCTGCATGTATTTCTGTTGCATCTCCGCTAGCTGTTCTTGCATCGTTCTCAGCTGCGATTTCAACAGGTTTTTCTCTACCCGTTTTTGTCTGATCGGTTCGGTTTCTTCCTCTTCGTCGTCAATGTATCGTTCCGCGTTACTGTCGTGCTGCTGCGGCTGATACAGCTTGCGTTTTTTACAGCCGTTTACCTGCGGCGGTGCCGGACTCGACCTCATCCCCGACACTATGTTTTCCACTCGCGCCTTCTTGGCGTCCTCCGGTTTCGCGGGACTCGCGGGTTCCACCTTCGGCGACGGCAGCGAATCAGTTTCCATGCCGTTAATTGCATCTTCTATCAGCTCGGCCTGTTGCCGGTTGTCGACGCCGGCCTCCGCTAGGCACTCCTTCATAGCCACGGCCGCGTCCACGACACTACGTTCCGGACTGGCCTTGGGGTCGTTGTTATTGTTGTTGATGATGTGATCCTGTCCGTTGCGCATGTCGTGCTCGAGGGCGAGCAGCTCGTGCTTCCTTCCCTGGAGGATGTCCCTCAGCATATGGTGTGCGAGGGCCTCTCCCGAAGGCGGACTTCCGTCGCACCGGATCACCGAGTCGTCGACGCCGTCGCCGTTCGCGTCGGCCTTCTGGCGCCCCAGAAGTTCGTTGAGCATTTTGGCGGGCGCGAACCCCGGTCCAAAAAGACCGAACTGTTGATGTTGGGTGAAAATGGCGCCGTATAAATTACCACTGGTTCCGAGAAAATTCGGTCGCGAACTGAAGTTCGGTATCGAAGAGTAAGAGTTACGCGGCTCGCCGGCGTCCACGCGTTGTCTGGTTCTTTTGGTTTTCTTCAGGAGCTTATCTGTGTACAAACCGAACTCTGTCTCCTCCTCCGATGACATCATAAGTTGGGGCGTTATTGGTCGTACGGTTGCCCCCTCCAGATAGCCGAGTCCCCACTTTAAGAATAGTCGCCCATGTCGATACCTGAAACGGAAAAGAGACGCGTCTCGTCACGGTTTCTAGCGAGGAACGAGAGAGGGCCCCGATCACCTGCCCCGACCGACGCGACGTAGAACCGGCACAACTGTTGAACGCGCTGAAGGCGCTGCGTGCAGTCGATGTTGGGCCTCGGTAAGAGATCGGGCTCCTTCGATGCCAATGAAACGCTATACTTCGGTTAGAAATTGTTAAAACGCCACTCGTTTTCGTCGCTGATAACGCAAACGTTCACAAATTATAATACAAAATATTAAGTGTTGGTCAGGCGTTTCCCAGCATTTAGTATTATTTGCCCTAATCTAAATTTTGGGATGGCGCATGGAGAAAATATTAGTTGTTTATATTAGCAACTTCGAATGGTTAGAGTTATAGTTTTGCAATATGATGAGAAATCGTATAAACAAAGGTTTACAACTTTTTAGGCTATCTTGACTAGGTTTAGGTTGGAAGTGGCGTGTGTAACGCAATTTTTATAAATGCAATGGGCGGTGGAAATTAGGCTCATTCGACAGGTACTGTCAGTATAAATATGCCTCTATTTTTATATTATTTAAAAGTTTGAAAAAGTTATTGTCAAACAAAAAAATTGTTAAAATTAAATTGAATGATTTGTGTTACTAGAACTAACTAAAGAAATTTTTTCGCGTAAAATATTTGAAAATTCTATATTCAGCTCTAATACAACTACATCTTACGTACGGTATAATAACCTGGGGTGCAGTTGTGGAAACACATTTGCAACAGCTCGAAATTGCACAGAAATGGCTACTATGATTGTATACAATTTTAGGTAAAGTTAAATATTATCCATCAGATGTACTTTACCGAAAATGTGAAATTCCAGATTTACGTCAATTATATTCTTGAGCTATGGTTCCCGGACAGTTCAAAAAAAGAGACACACTATCAGACATAATCACCCCCACTATACGAGAATAAAAAGTCACACCGGCTACCGAAAGTTAGAACGTCGCTAGCCCAACGTTCATTTCTCTATATAAGTCCCAAAATACACTCTGACTTGCCAAACGAAATAAAAACAATAACTAAATTAAAACCACTTAAAGGAAAACTGAAACAATTGTTGCTAAGCACTAATGCAGAAAAAACTAAATCGGTTATTGATATAAAACAAAAGCATTGTACTCCATATTCAAGATCCTTAATTTGTCCAAACCTGACATTAACATTGCCTAAATGTCACAATCTTTCGTCTTTATTCCCAATTTCGACTACCCCGAACTTGACACTTTTAACTATATAAGTTATAGATTATTTTTTTTTTGTTATATTCATTTTTTGTGAAATTTAGTAATATAGCAATATTTGTGATAACTCATTTGTAGGAATTATCATATAACTAGCTCACTAACAATGTGTACCTTTTGTGGATAATCATACATTTTAATCTTCCCAAATAAATGAACTATTATTATTATTATTATTATTAAAAAAAAATATTGCTTCGGCAGAAATTCCATTTTCGAGTACTAAAACAACTATAAATATGCATTCCATATTATATAAAATAAAATAACAAGTACTACCCAGAAAATGAAACAATTGGTTAATTAAAAAAAAATAAAGCAGTGTTGCCCAACGCTAAGTTTACAAAAAACGTCGGAGAGAAATTTCTGGGTATTAACATTTCTGTGTACAAAGTGATGCTTATTGGGTTGCTATATATCTGAGGTGGAGCATTTATTCGCAGATTGCAATCCCATAAACAAAAGTTTACCACTTTTTAGGTTATATAAACTACGTCCACATTCTGTTATTTAAATATTATGGAGTTATGGACTCTCTGATTATTTACGATTTTTTTTTAAGTTGTCAATAACGGTCCAAGAAATATACTGATTCGTAATTTTCTCTAGTAAATTTTAAAATTGTTTTCTTAGATTTTTGGCGAAAAAAAAAACGTCTTTGAAAAATAAAAAAATATATGGGACGTATGTAGCGCCACAATGAAATCTTTTACAAATGCCATGTAGAAATAAAATTTAAATTGCGTTTCATTCAAACATGTCTCGCAAACTTATCAGTTTCGCTCTCAACTCTAGGGCTGGACTTTAGCAAGTGCTTGCTTAATTTATAATTTTCTTAAAAAATTTGGTTAGAAATTTTATAAATTATGCTATTTTACTGACGATTGAAATAAAACGCATGTTTTAAGGATTTTCCGTTCGAGAGGTCACAATAACTTTGGATTTGTGAAATTTGATTACTAGTTTATTTATATTATCTTGTTTTTTTTTTTAAATAACTTTTCATCGTTTTTTTTTGTTTTTTCTGCCCTCTTGAACTTGCAGAATAGAACTCGAAAATGTTCCCAAACACTCATATAGTTCTCACCAGATCGCAATAATTACGTTCCGATCTTCCACGATAAAAAACAGTTATCACTCCCCCTTCAAACATAATTCCCATAGTGACCACAGGTGTGCACGTTAAAAGTAAGTCACGAAGCTACCGTATTAAAATGTATGCCCAAACAACCAGGGGTTGCGGCACATATGTCGCGGCGCTTCGATGAAAGAAAAAACTTCCGGCCAACCGGAGTCACAGGTAAATCGCGAATGCGTGGACATTTCCGGTATTCCGGTCACGGAATATGAACGCCGTTTCCCATTATGGCGCCACCCGGTGGTGTAACGACTGAAGAAATAAAATTAGATTTTTGAAAACTTTGTAGGTGGGTAAGTACGTATTTTATTTTAAATCATCAAATTGGGAGTAAAATTTAGGTTTTATTAAACTATTGAAGTAAATAACAAGTTATTTATATTCCAGTCAATTTTCAGTTATTCAGTTAGCAATATTTTAATGTGTTCTTAAAGAAATTTTAAAAAATGCATATACGAGGTGTGTTCAAAAAGTAAAGTGACTTTTGTAATTGGGCGGACTAAGTACATTCGATCTTGGATATTTCTTTTGTTGTGTTGGTACACTTGTGCCTAACATATGTTCAGAGCTTCAGTCATTTTGCACGTTTGCTTTTTTTGTGAGAGCGAAGCGTTACACGTGTTTTTCTGCTGTCAAAAGTGAAATGCAGTGCTGGAAAACACTCGAAATGTTGGTAATGTTATAGGGTGAATCTACTTTGAGCAAAAAAAAAATGTTTATAAGTGGTGCAAGCTGTTCCAAGATTGTCGAGAAAAAGCCGATGACGAACCTCGCTTTGGCCGCCCCGGCACATCAATAACTCATGAAAGAGTCGAAGAAGTGAAAAAAATGGTGTTAAAAAATCAGTATTAGAGAAGTGACTGAAGATGTCGGAATATCTCTTGGCTCGTAACATGCAATTTTTTCCGAGGGATTAGACATCAAACGTGTAGCAGCTAAATATGTTACGAAACAATTTTGATCAAAAGGACAGTCGAACGAGAATCACTCAAGAGCTGTTAAACGACATCATGGATATGTGATTATGAAGGCGAAATTAAAGCCCAGCAGTCCCCATAGAACAACCCAGAGTCGCCAAGACCTTACGTTTTCTTTGAGTAGAGTGGCGTGGTAGATCAAGAGTTCTTACCACAAGGTCGTACGGGCAATAGAGAGTATTACCTTGAAATTATGCGCCGTTAGCGAGAAGCAATAAGAAGAAAACATCCGGAATTGTGGAAAAACAATTCATGGATTCTGCACCACGATAATGCACTTGTATGTAAGGAAGTGAGGATTATTAATATTCTCCTAGGTTATCAGTTTTTCAAGCGATTTAACATGGATATTTAACTAGAATAATAATTAATTATTTATCGCATAACTAAAAAGTGGCCATTTGTGAAAAAATTGCGGGGAAGTTTAATTAAACGGTTTATATACTTTTATATCCTAACAATGGAATATGTATAAATATTATGACTCCTTGTATTGACACAATCTGGTATTTGTTCCATTTTTTTATTTTGATTAAAATGAACATACTTTTGACATGAATTAAAACTTTCATTCTTACTGTAGATTTGATATTTCATAACCCTCTATAAATGAATATAATTCTGAATAGGAAAGAGCTTAGAAATTTTCAAGTTTCTCTGATATCGAGAAGGAACAGTACTTACTTGTTTCTAAAAAAGAAAGTGCTCTGGTCATAAAACACAGGGACGAACCGCAGATAGAATAACAATAAGAAATCGGTTGTTGTAATTTTTATTCGTTAATGAGGAAATAAGAAAGAAACAAAAATGACCAAAAATGGAGGAGGGATTCTCAGTTACAATTAAGGCCCCATCGTTTCCATAAAATTTCACAAATTTTCTAACAACTGCAATGGGTAAATTCAATTTTTTATTGTATGTTTTAAAATTTGGATTGTTCCAATCTATTGTTCAAATGCTAATAAAATTTGTTGGAATTTTCCTACATAATTCTTGTCCCTTGAGTTAAATAAAATACAAAATTTTTCTTGAAATAAATGGAAACGCGTGTCTATGTACACAAAAAAACACACCAAATCCAAACACTCACAGTCGGAGATTAAACTTATAGGTTAGAAGTAGATAACGAACACCATAACAAAAATATTATCTGAACAAAAATGACACGAGTTTCACGTAACATACTGCACATTATGCCCTACTTATGATAAGACAACGGGTCTACGACAGATGGCGAAAGACTGTGAGAATTTTGGAGTATATCGATCATATTATGGCCATATGGCCCACCATGTCCGAAAAAGAAGTCCGTAACAATAGTTTAACTCGCCAGGAGGCACTTTTAACTGATAATCGCCCCCTAGCGAACGAGCTTGCCGAGATATTGAATCGCCATAAACGTATTTAATGTTTGACAGGATTAAATTAAATTTCTTGAGGATGACTACGGCACGATGACACCCTATTATACTCCAAAAGGCTTGGGAATAAATTTACAGACCAATTGTTCAGTTCAGGTAATTATGACTGATGGAGGTTAACTTCTGCATTTGTAAAATTTGAATTTTTACTTTTTTTGATATACGAATTAATGTAGAAATC